GACCGCGCTGGATCTTTACATTCCCCGCGCTCGTAATATCCCTACTGGCATTCATAATGGCTACAATATTCCTTCTGTATCTTGCAGCATTATGTCGCGTTCGGAGGCCGAACGCGCAGTGGGCGATTTTTGTTTTTGAGCCTACGGGGTCTCCGCTTCTTGGTCTTACGATCACCACTGTCACTGTGAGTTCTCGACGTCTTCCCTTCGCCTCGCGCTCACCGAGGGTGTTGATCCAAGACACATCTTATTTCTATCAGCGTTCCGTTTCTTGTTTCCGTTGCAGGATATTGCGTGGCGGGGAAATGGCTGGAAGAACAGTCTTTCCCTCCAGCGTCGCGTCCCGCGCTCCCCACACCCCTTCAGTAAGTCTGGTCCGTTTTTTACCTACCTTCATTGTCTTATCAATATTTTAGATACGCTTTCATGGTCAAGATGCTCACTACGTCCAATGTCACTTCGGTGTACGGGGCAGGGCGGTACATGAAAGCGGCCAGGCGAAACATCAGGTTTCCGCGGAGTTTTCAGGTGGCTCTTGCGCTGACGAGTCTGATCATTGGGCTATCCTATTCGCTCATGTCCGTTCCCTTATCTTCTCCCACACGTGCGAACTGAACAAACTTTGTACAGCCTTGTCGACATATGGCTCCATGGCTCGGCCTTCGTGGTTGAAGGAAGTATCCCGAGCTCAATTCAGAGGCCAATGCAAATCACCTCGTTCGGTGTGGCCTTCAATGAATCGGTTTGCGCCGCATCCTCTGCATGTCTTCAAGACGCGTCGGGAGACTACGGGCCATCGTGGGCCACACAGGCCGGCCTCGTCGTCGCGGCCAACTCTTCCGACACTTTCTCAGTAATCACCCTCAACAACGCGTCCGACATGGCCATCGTCGTCTCAAAGTCAGCGAATCCATTCGTCACCTTTGAAGCGCCTTCCTTCGGAATCAAGGCCCAGTGCTCCAGCCTGACGCCAAGCTGTACTAGTACTGTGCCACAGCCGATTGGATGCTCCGCGTTTCCCTTGACCGACAATCCGAGGACTACGAGCGCGAGCGCCAGTGCCACTACCAGTGCCAGTGCGAACTCGAGTGTGAGCGCGACCAACAGCGCCGCCAGTTCCAGCTCCACCTCTCAGCTGGCGACCAAGCTTGTGCCCGTTAGAGCCACGACCTCGAATCCGCAGACGGTACTGGTGCAGCTGCAGTGGAGTGCAAATGGGTCAATGGTGTCCCAGAATCCATCGGCGGTTGAGACGAACAACAGCAATATTTTAGCCTGGGCGTCGTGTGATTTAACGTTCTATAATCTCACTCTTCAGCACAAAGATGGGTTGTACGGTATTGCGGGAGAGCCCATCCTCGCCAACCCAGATTTTTCCAATATCATGCAACGCGGTCTCCTCTCGCAGCTGGGCAATATCCGATTACTGTCCGACCTTCAGGTTTGTCGTTTCCCCTTTCCCGTACCCAAGCCTCTCTGATGTTTCGACAGACGACAATGCTAGCTGAACAAAACATATCGAGTGCAGTTGGCGCGATGAACCAGGAGCTCGGGCGCGTCGCGCTCGCGCTCTTCACTGGGACGCTCCAGCCGGCTCCTTTGTTGCAAAGTAACCCACAGCAGCAACCCGCTCTCCTTGGACGATACCCCCTCGTTCCCGTCATCCTCTACCTTTTCATCCTATACGCATACTCTCTCACCGCCGCCATTATATATATTTGGGCGGCGCGCCTCCGCTCGCAGCTATTCCGCAACCCCGGCCACAAGACGACCTGTGCTGTGCAACTTGGGCAGCAGCGCCTTACGGATCCCCTCACACTCGTTGCCGCGTTGTATCCCTCGTATCCAGACAATCCAATGACAGAGGACCCGCGTGAGCTGTTCATGGAGGAGACCGCAGTCCGGTTAGCGATCAGCACGCACGACGGGCCCCAGCCTATGTTTGGGGTGTACCAGCGCACGGGGACGTGGACACTGGAGATGGGGTAGAATGAATGGATCTTTTTCGATTTTTGTTGAAGCAGCGACACTCCTTTGCATATCTTTTGTTACGCCTCCATAGACACTTTCCAATGTTCTTTTTTCCTCGGAGCGGAGGTTTCAGTAGATATCAAGTTGTTGGTGCGGCTGGCAAGTGAGCCCTCTATTGTTATTGCGGAGCGTGTGAGGGCATCGTGTTGAATATACATGGCCAGCCGTGTACGGCCAGAGGGTGGGGAAGTATTCGACCAGAGGCTCGTTCGGTCCAATTTCCAGGCTATTTTCCTTCCGCATTCGAAAGCTGGGAGACGATCCGTGTGCCAGGTATCCGGGCAGGATTGAACGACCGGTCGCAGTCGGCGTACGCGATACCGGCGCCGAAACCTGTCGAGAGTGCAATTGGCCATGTGCGGCCTGGTGATAGAATCCGAGTTATTCCGTGTCGCGTGGATAAGATGGAAACGACCGACGTTTGAATAGTACAACGGATAGCACGACGCCAGCGCTGAAGCCTACACCACTTTTCCCGGTAATGTTAGCTGTTTGTGCGAGGCAATATAACGGTCGGAACCTACGCTTTGACCAGGAAATCGGCCACTAAATGGACCTTTGTCAGCGAACCGGTACAAATCGGCCTGCACACTGCTACGCACAACAACGGTCATACTGCGCGTAGAAATGAGTGACAATCGGAATATAAGGATTGCAAAGTTGACCTTTTGCCCGAGAATATCTTCACTTGAAGGAGGTTTTGGGGTTGTGGACATGGCTGAAGACGGAATGCAGCTGTGCCGATAAGTGTGGTCGTGATTGGCACGGCCGTCGGCCCAATAAAGCAACTCGGGATTTCTGTTCTTTCTCTCCGACTCCCGCTCCGCGCGTTCGGGGAAATAAAATCGGTCTATCCTTGTGGCCGGATGTAGTGAACTCAATGGATCTACTGGCCGCTTACCGCTGTTCCTGGGCGCTCGAAAACGTACTGTGGGGCTGTGTTGACTACGCTCATTCAACTTGAAGTCTTACCTCCACCATGGATCTTTTGAAACCTCATGATAAGTCCGAGAAACCGGCTGGGAGTCCATCCTCCAAAGGCGCGACTCCTGCAGAACACCACGAATCGCTCTTGGACAAAGTACTTGGTACCGAGCACAAAGTCGTTACACCTTCAAGTTCGCCGCCCCCTGAGGGACTTTTGGATAAAATCATCCGCTCTGTAGGTATAGAACGAGAGGAACATGGCACGTCGCTCCCTCCAGCGGTACCGCTACGTACTCCACCGAAGCATGAGAGCATTTTTGATCGATTCACCAAAGACGAAATACCGGCACTGCCCCCACCCCCGACATTACCCCCGAAGCCCGAAGGGTTCCTGGAAAGGGTTGGCGGTCATGTTGTTCCGCCCCCGCCGCCCCCACCGGTCGTCCCACAACACGAAGGGGTGCTGCAGAAACTTGGGCTGGAACACCATCACGCTGCCCTCCCGCCCCCTCCTTCGCCCATGGAACCTAAGCACCATGGAATCCTCGAAAAACTTGGCGTGGAGCAACACGATGCTCCGCCGCCAGTCTCAGTGCCAGTTCCAGTGCGGCACGAGGGAGTTCTTGGGAAATTGGGACTCGAAAAAATCCATCCTCCTCCAGCACCCGTTGTCCCCCCTCCTCCAAAACACGAAGGAATTTTCGAGAAACTTGGTCTAGAGCACACAGCTCCTGTGCCTGTGCCTGCGCCGGTTCTTCCCAAGCACGAAGGGATTTTTGATAAACTCGGTGTTGGGCATCCTGCTATCGCCTCAGCGCCTGTGGCGCCAAGTCCCCCGAAACACGAAGGTCTCCTCGAGAAGCTCGGGCTGTCCCACAACTCTGTCCCACCACCGCCCCCTGCCGGCCCGGAACACAAGGGTGTGCTCGAGAAGCTGGGGTTCGAGCGCAAGGATCCTCCTCCGCCGCTGCCCCCAAAGCACGAGGGCATGCTGGAGAAGATGCGGCAGGAGCACCAAGAGCCGCATGAAACGTTTCTCCAGAGAGCGGGCTGGGTGACACCGCCCCCACCCCCACCACAAGACGGGTTGCTTGAGAAAATGGGCCTCGTCCCGCCACCACCCCCGCTTGCGCCCAAACCTGCGGGTATCCTCTCCCATCACCATCATGACGTCGTTACACCGCCGCCGACTGGGCGCCTGACGGAGAAGATCAGCGCGCTGGGAGTTGGACTCGGCATTTCTTATCCGGAACCGCAGAACTCGGAGCACGGGCTAGTGCATAAGCTGAGCGGGGCTCTGCGCCAGGAGGAGAAGAAGGACGAAGGCCCTGTGTCCGGGCTGGTGCGGAAGATCAGTGGTGTGCTTCGCGGAGGCGAGGAGAAAGAAGGTTTGTAGATGTTTTTTCAAAGTAAGGGTATGATCGACCTGACATACCACATCCTAGATGCCTTTGAGAAAGGTTTGTGATAATGCCCTAAGTTCCGAGATGGTGTGCTTACTCTCTCAAAGTAGTAGATTTTGTGCAAGAGCACATCCCTCATGAGGGGTCGAAATTAGAACCAATGGTCGACGCGGTCAAACAAGAATACAAAAAGATAGAACACGGTCTGAAAGAGTAGCACAGTGTACGTGTGGCAGATGAGTATGAACTGACCATTGTACTTGGAATAATATCATCACCGCTTCAGAACCGTCAAAGTAGCAGGTCAAAAGAAATTTGAATACCGGCAATAGGATGTAGCGTGGCACTATCGTTCAGGCTGGCATCGCGTCGAGAGAACTGTCTTCGGGACTGAGAGCTATAGACAATGTTGAAGGGGCAGGGGGGCTGCCTACCAGCTGCTGCACTGTGCCGGAAGACGACACTGAGTTGCATCGCGTCCCGGCTGAATAGCCCGCAGTCTTGGGACCAGCCATTGCATACTTAAAACTGACTGCCAGGCCCAAGCCAGGCCCCGTTCTACTGTTATACCTCGTTCATTTTTGAGTGCGCGCAGGCCCCCAAAGGCCCCATGTAGTGAACTTAACCACTACCTTATAAGGCACGATGGCCGAGTGGTTAAGGCGACAGATTCGAATGGTGGATAATCGATTTGTGCGATCTGTTCCGGTTTCCGGGCGCAGGTTCAAATCCTGCTCGTGTCGTTCTCTTTTAGCTTTTAGCTCTTTTAGCTTTTAGCTCTTTTAGCTTTTAGCTCTTTTTCGTCCATTCCTGGCCCAGGGTACCATCACACTTCTCCAGGTTCGAATTGCTTTATAACCTGCTCATCGATTCAGCTTCTGGGGGTATTCGATGTACCTTGCAATAAGGTCTTCTCTATGAACATTTTCCACTTTAGAGAGATCGGTTACCGGTCTAACACGGTCTATAAAATGCGGTTTTCCTCGCGGCGAGTGCCACATAGCGAGTCATACTTTATTTAATCATAAAACATATACACCTATTACAATCCAAAATCTCGTTACATGTCGTTATATATGATGTTAAGTAGGATCCAAAGGGTAGTGGTATATTTTCCGCATCAACTGCCACAGCTTTTCCGCGCCGAGGAGCAGTTTTTCTAGCGCCAGATCCATGTCTATCTCAGGCCAGCTCATATTTGAGAAGTTGAAGTTGAGCGGCTGAAAGAGGACAACTGAGCTCGAGGAGTCGGCGGTGATGGGTGGAATAATCTGCGGCGTCTCTACGGGGGCCGGTGGTGGTGGGGAGGTCAGCGCTGCCGAGGAAGTGCTGCTCGGACTGGGTTGTTGTATCGACTCCGCGGGAGCTTCCGATTCCGATCTAGCGTCAGTGTTGAACCACTGCCATCGACTTGCCTGATAGGCAGTGGAGGTAATAGTGACTGCCTCGGGGACGTGGGTCCATGACGGACCTACGGACAGGGCATACCCTTCGAGTGAACGCGAGAGTTCGGTCACCGCCGAATTCAGTCGGACGAGGTATACGGATCCGAGGATGAGGATAGCCCACGACACGAGCAGGATCGTCAGCTGCCCGAAACTCGTCGACACGGGGGAGAAGGGGTGCAGGTTGTACTGTTGGCGGTGTAACTGAATGTCCAGCGAAATGTGGGGGTAGAAAAAGGCCTGCAGAGAATAATGCAGGAGCCGTCGTCCAGATCTCACACATTGATTATGGGCGAAATTGGATCGTAAAGATGATATTTGCAGGCCTAAAGCAGCGTTAAGCGATGAGTAGAAGCGAAAGGGAGCGACTTACCCGAAATACCGTCGATATTGACCTCCAACCGGCCCACGGGTATGCCGAAGGAAGGCAGATACACATCGAATTGTGTACGGTCCTTTTCCTTCATCTTCCCCTTCTTGTCGGCAGGTTGCTCGTTGACATCTTTGACTACATAGTCAACTACGACGCGCCCGCCACCAGCCGCCCCTACACGCAGTTTGACCCAGCTAACCCACTCCTGGCCACTCATCTGCTCAAACGGCAGTCCAATGCCCGACTCCTCTTGCTTCACAGCGACGGTCGTCTCGTACAACACCGGCACATCGTCTAAGCTCACACTCACAATATCCACCTTCGGCGGGCCACCAACACCCGTTGACCCGCCCGCGCCATGTTTCGCGAGCCCAAACTCAAGCCAGTCCGAGTCCGCATCCACCGGCGCCGCGAGCGAAACGCGCACGGCATACGCAGCGGGTACCGCCGCTAACGGGCTCCCCGCGTCGTCTGGCATCACCACGAGCGGCGTCACCACCGCCACCACGCTCGGAATCATCAGCGCGCCGTCGCGCTTCGGCCGCGCAGGCGCCATGCCCAACACCGCCATCGCGCGTGCAGCAGACGTCGAGGGCACGCGGTCGCGCGACGTCTGCACGCTGCTCGGCGTCCGCGGCCGGCTCGGCGGATGCAGCCTCCCATTCGCGCTCGTCGCAACGCCGTTCGCCGTCGAGACAAACGGAATGGCGGGCTTCACAACGATGCGCGCGCGCTCGCCGCACTTGGTGTAGTCCCCGCGCTGGAGCACAGTCTTACTCGACGCGGGTGCGCGTTGGTGCGCGTCGCCGGCGAGCAACTCGACGGTGGCGGGCGCGTTGGCGTCGACGTCGTTCCGCACGATGACACTGACCGACTCGTTGTCGGCCGCGAGAACGGTGAAGCGCGGGATGATGATTGAGTCGGGGTCGATCGAGACGAGCGGCGTCTGCGCGTCGGGTTCGCCCTCGCCGCGTACCGGCGAGGCGCTACGCGATGCTGGAGCGGGCGCGGCTCGGGGACGCGGGGGTAACGAGCACAGTTCCGGAAATCCAGAACGGAAAAGAGTTCTTGCCCGCGGGGTGCGTCAGCTCGTTCATGTTAACGTGTATTGTTACTGGAACGCCTGGCGGCCGGGGAGCCTGGTTCATTGAGGGCGAAGAAGACGTTTGGAAGGAGCCTACGGAAGACTCGATCGACGTTGTTTGCGAGGCGGAGACGGAGGAGGATGGTGCCGAGCCCTCGAAAGAGTACTCGGGGACGTTGGTGGCAGGAAGAGGTCCCCGGAGCAGAGACGCTGACGAGGACGCCGAGCTTTGTCGGGATATTCCTCGTTCCGCCCCGAGGAATATTTGCGGTCCATTGGAATAGTTGGAGTCCATAGAATCGTGCCTCGACATGCCCTCGGGCTTCGGCGACGCTCCGACGTCGTATCCTGTATACCCTGCTCCTCCACCGATCTCCCAGTCGCTGAGTTGCCCGGGGACCCACGAGAGGTCCGAGTTCTTGGCCTCCAAGCTAACGTCCATCCCAAGCATCGTAGCGACCCCAGGGAACCACACGCCCTTGCACGTCCCCTTGTACTCGACATGCATCAGCACCCCATCCCGCTGGTGCTCCGCATTCAACATCTTGCCCAACACGGTGCACGTCATCTCCCCGCGCACGTCTTTCACACCGACGCGCCGCCGCCCATCTCCGCCTCCGCCAACGACTTTCGTCGGCTTCGCCCAGCGTACACGGATGCGCTCCGCACTCGGGAACGTGCCCTGGATCCCGCACCCGTCCGAGAAGCCCGCAGTAGACGAGTCGCTCGACTCGTCATCGGCGACGTTACCGTACGAATACGTGCCGGCGCGTGACTGGCGCGAAGACGTCGCGCGTGTGACATGCGGGTCCGAGGTGAGGTCCCACGCGCCGCCGTCCTCGTCCGCAGAGGAAAGCGACGCGAACGAGGCGGAGGCAGCCGTCGGCGGAAAGATGCGCAGCCGCACGTTATTGTGCAGGCAGCGCGGGGTTGGGATGGAAAGCAGATAGGGGGAGCGCGGGGGACGCGACGAGTAGGGCACGAACATGTCGATTGCGGCCATGAACTGCACGGTGTTGCGCTCGACGATGGAGGAGCGTCGGACACTGCCCGTGGAGCGGGAGTAATGGTCGCTGTCCTGGTAGCGCGTTGGGAAGGCCTTGGGGAGTATATACGAGATGTGGTAGCCGCTGACGAGGATGTGGCCGGTGTATTTGCTATCCACGGGCGGTGTGGCGCTTCTGGTCGAGTTCGAGGACCCGTTAGACTTGTTGGATCGAACGGAGCCGGCGACCGAGGCGCTTGTGGCAGGTGGCGAGAGTCCAAAGGCGGCGTCGAAGGACTCTGACGAACGGCTAGGCACTGCACGGACTTTAAAATTAGTATAGAGGAAGAGCGTTTGTAGCGTACGGTTGAGTGCGCGTGCCGCATGATGCAGCAATGGCGACAAGTCGGACGAAAAATCGTAGGGCACGGAATTACTGTCCAGTGGATGAACTTGCGAGGACAAAACCTTGACACTTTCCTCTGCACAAAAATCAATGGTGTCGAATGAAAACAGCGGAGAGACTGACCCGGAAACAATGGAATAGTGGATCCCGGAACACTGTCTAATGGCAAGGCAATCTGCCACCAAAAAATTAGCTTCGTCGCGGGTAGTCCAAATTGCCGCACCTTGAGGTACATCCTGATATTTGCACCATCCTCACCGTGCTTCGCCTTGCCCTCAATCGCTACACGCGTCACGACATTCGTTTTTTGCCCCTGCGCGCCCGCGGTGACTGTCGGCGAGTACGCGGACGACGGGGTATTGAACACGCCAGAGAGCCGCGCACGCAGCGGGGTGGTTGTAGAGTCTGTAGCGCTAGTTGGGGGACTATTCGGTCTGCTGTGTCTCTGCGACGTAGGAATAGGCATTCCGCTTGAAAAAAAAAGGTTGGTAGAAGCAGTGGCCCAAGCGTCGCGGTCGTCGGCGCGTCAGAATTAATATACAACGTGGAATGTGGTGGGCCTAGTGAAATGTGCGGGTGGATGGTATAAGGTGGTGGTAGCGGTACAAGTTGGCTGAGCGAGTCTTTGTTGCCGCCCTTCTCACGTGGATCTGCCCAAAAGGGGACCACAACCACGCCCGCCCCGAAATGGATTTTTGCGCCAAGAAGGCTCAGAAGCGCGTCCGAGATCACAGCCTCAATGGCCCGGATCTACCCAGATTTTCATTCTCCAGTGAGACAAGCAGCGATTTTGTTACCAGTATTCGAAAGAGAAAGAGATAGGAACCAAGGAGCTCGGATAAGGCCTCAATTGAGGCCATAAAATTACTGCGAACAGGTTTTGGCATGCAAGTCCTGCGGAAGACGACCAGAAATAAGAGTCCCTGCCGCAAAGTACCGCTTTGGGACAGTTTCCCACTGGGCAGGCCGACTACTGTGGCTAGTGCACAGCAGACAGTAGAAGAGGGGAGATGGACATATGTAAGCTAGTCCGAGGGCTGAATCATACGGGAGAGAAGAGTCTCGTTGCCCAAGCACACCGCCTGGGCTATGGGTGCCGGCCTTCGTCGTCAGAGAAATGTTTCGCATCGACACTCGGCACAGTACAACTCGATTGCCCTGACGTCGTTGCGACGCAGGGCGAGGCAAGAAATTGAGGTCGCTTGAAAGGAGTCGACGAGAGGTTTGACTTGCCGGTCCTCCCTGTACCCGAGCTGAAGGAAACCGAAACATAACACAGCTGGTCTGCTGTACTTAGAGCCTGTGCGGCGGTTCAGTACCTCGTCGGTCAGCCTGGATTTGGATATACGTCAAGTATTTCATCAGTCGAACTATGGAATACGGCTCGGATTCTGTCTCAGCGAGGAGCTTGGCCCTCGGTATCGAGCTAAACTGTCCTCGCCGAGCGACG